AGATTGCAGCAAAACTCAATTTTAAATACAACTCTACTGGTGCTAGTTTACTGATTTTATTTATAGGGGGGCCATTCTTTAGTAGATACCAAGGGGATGTCGTTTGCTAAGTAGATCTTATGAAAACAAACTAGAAATAAGGTACTAGGGATTCTAACAGACCGGGTTTTTAGTAGACTAATCTTTTAACAGACTCAGAACAAAAAGTAAGTCCAAAAGCTAACTTCAAATGCCGCATTGGTGATTGGCGACAGCTTGCTCCGCTGCGCTGACATGCGAAAGAGTAATATTTTGAGCGTAAATCTGTTTTTTTTTGCCGCTAATTTAGACTATTTTGTTTTTGAAACTGACAGTTGTGCTGACAAATTAAAATATAATTGTCCTAAATAGGGTATAGGGCTTTTTGGCCCAAGAATGGGAGTATCCTTACGCGTGCCAATCAATGGTGTTATTGTGCGCCTAAATTTGTTTGCTTTTACAATCATTTAGTCTATTCTGTTTTTGAACTTGACAGTTTTGCTGACAAATCGTGAGATAATTGTATTAAATTGGGAAGCTTGAATCAAGAGTGAGCAAGCTTTTACGTCTGTCAATCAATTACACGTCAGTTGTAATACACTGGGTCTATTAAAAGACTCACTTTTCAATTTTTATGCTGAAAAATTGGTCCCCTAGAGAAAAGGAGTAATCGAAGGTTAAAAAGTATCAGCAAGATACATCATTTGGAAAAAGACAAAAGTGGGTGGAATGATGTATTGTGGATGACAAAAGTGGGTGTAATGAAAAAGACATAAGTATGCAACAACCAATTTCAAACTTCATTGCGTCAATAGAAAACATTTCAATATCAAATTAAATAAATAGACTTGCAAAAGTTTAGATGGAATTATCAAAAAATTTATCTGTCACTTCCAACACGGCATTTCTTTTGAAAGCAGATATGACACCTAATTTCGAAACATGAAGAACACAAATCGAATCAAGTTATAAACGAAGTGGTTTTACAAAAACGCTATCAAAATATATGAAGGCTTGCTTTTAGAGCGTTAAGAGAACATTCTCGAAACAAAATGTTAATTATCATCTAGGTATATGAATTTCAGGAGATTAAATTTGCTATTGACACACCAACTATTCTCAATGAAACGAATCGTAAACATATGGAACAACTAATGGAACAACACTGTTGCATGTTTTCAGAATATGCTGAAAGCTTGGACTTCATTTCCTGTAAAAATATGAAATTTTAGTGGAAAACAATTGATTTAATGGATTTTTCCGAAAATGTAGCAAAGTAAATGAGTGAAATTTTTAGACACTAAAAACTCATGATGTTTTCAATGTAGTATTTGAGGTAATACATGGTCGCATAACAAAAATGTAACAGATAAAAATCTGAAATTACAGTTGGGAAAAAGTCAGCAAGTATTAGAAGCAAAAACAAGCTTTAACAGAGAGAAAATTTTTTCTTGAAACTAAAAAAAAATCATATTGAAGCTTTATTTTTTTTTCAAATACTTACTCTAATTTGCCGTAATTCGATAGGCTAGAAATCCAACTCATCTCATTAACTTAAAAATATAGCCTCCCCCTGCTCTCTTTTAAAGGGATAGACAATGTTAAGTAGATCCAATTGATTTAGCAACCTAAGAAAACACTTGATCAGTCTCAGTATAAACAGTTGCTAATTTAGGGTAACTTTGTGTGATGGTCACCGAAAAAGCTAATTTATACCCATTCCTGGCAACATTTCCATGAACTTGAATTGTTAAAAGTGCATGAAACAATGGCTTTTCTTTATGTTACTTTGTGCAAATAGCCCTAGAATTTTCATTATTTTTAAAATTTTAATTTGATTTTGAAAAAATGTATTTTCAAAATCGAACGAAAACAAAACTTTTGAACAAAATCAAACATCAAGTGTGAAAGACAAGTAAGTAAAAAACTTTTACGAATGATTAGTTTGCCTCAACTCAATTCGGAATTGTTTTCTAGTGTGGGATAAACCCTCAAAACTTGATGAAAAGCTTCATTTCGATCATTAAAAAATGACTAAATGAAAAAAAAACACACCAAGCGCCAATATATTCCTCATTTCTTTTTAAAAATTTTATAATTTAAGCGAGTGCTTTTTTCAGAATTGCTATACAGCAGCTAAGTTCTACAAAAAAAATTTATTGTGGAAAAATTGTCTCAAAGTACAAATTTGGCCAGTAATCCTAAGAGTAAGCATTGCAAAAATAAATTTACTCAATTTAGAAGGAAGTTGAGCCTTTTATGCGGGGTTGAGCGCAGAAAAACTAGAATAAAGCGCGCATTTGTTGGACAAATTTGGCTGTTATTTTTTAACCAATTTTCCAATTGTTTGATAATAATACTGCTCATATAACAGGGCGCTGCTCAAAAGATTCCGACTGCACATTAAATCCAATTAAAATGTTTAGTTTTTTAGTTTGAAAACTTGAAGAAATAATCAAACAAAATTTTGTTTTCAATTTTACGTTTAATTTATTACCCCGCACGCTTATTTGAACTACAAAAGCATGTATTTGACGTCTGCCCTTGAGAGCCTAGAAAATCGTCCCAAGCATAAATTTTCCATTTTTTTGCCAATTTTTTGCTGAGTTTACGGTCAAGAAAAGGTATTTAAAAAAAAAAAAACAAGAGTGTCTGAACTGCCTTGTATCGTTTATCACCATGTAGAAAAATTTGACAACGTGTGACCGCAGAAGAAATCACTCACGACAATTTGTATTTTTGATTCTTTTTTGCAATTATTTGAATTGATTTCATGTTCGCTCCATAATTTCAACCTTAAAGGCACCAGCATGAGCCAAACAAATACAACTGAACTGAAAAGCATGATCCAAAAGACTGAAGAAATTAAATTAAATCGGCGTTCTAAAACAGTATTGATTTAAGTTATCTGGACAAAACGCAAAGCGCCTAAAAACGTGAAATTCAAAACGCGTTTTTCTCGAAGGGTTGACTTTGGATTAAAAAAAAGAAAAAAAAACTTGCTTAGAATTTTAGCAGAATTATTATGAAGCAATTTTTGTTCTATGAAATACGCTACGTATTTTTACCTTAAGAATTAGTCATTTTTTGGTTTTTTGTCAATCTGAAAATAAGTCAAAACTAGCAGGTCAGTCTCTGATAAGGTTATATCAAACGAAGTTTATCATTATGTAGCCGAACAAAAATTAAGAAGCCTGCAACTTCCAAAACCTTGTATCAATTTTGCTCTTATTTGAGTTTTTGGGATTTGTAGGAAAATCATTTTTATACAGTCTTGACAGTAATCGACTCGGTAGTTTTGAGTAATTCTTGATTAACTAAAAAACCAAAAACTATCTGTATTTGAGGCAAAACTTTGGGACCGATTTCCGCAAAACAAATTGCACTATTTTTTTTGCTAAAACTTTAAGCAAGTTTTGTGTTCAAATGTTTTCACCTAATGTTAACCCAATTTGTGAAAAATAGTTGTGATTTTCTAGTGAATTTCTTGTGTTCTTGAGGGGGGGGGGGGGTTGAGATGTGATTTTCAACAAATTTTTGAAAAATTTGTCAACTTTTTTTAAAGTCAACCAAACTGATTTTCCGAGCACACCCAGAACACAATAAAGACCCCCTTTTTGACCAAAAAATGTTGCGCAGCAGGCAAATTTTCGAAAAACCGGTCCAAAAAGCTGTTTTTTTGGCTCTTTCCGGACTTTTTTGGCCAAAAAAAATCAATTTTTTAGCGTGCACTCTTCCGAAATTAGTGTATATTGGCCCCGAAGTTGCCTACAGAACAATTTTATGGTTGGTCGGCCTAAAATGGATGGCATAAAATAATACTTTTGGTTGGCCAGAGGGTCAAATCCGCCCCGGTATCTACTCAATCAAACATGAACCAGGCAATATTGCTCGTATCAGGTCAAAACCCTGATTGTTTTGATTGATCTATGTTTGTGAGGTAGTTTTATCAAGTTAATTAAAGAATAATTGTGTAAACTTTAAATTGAATTTGAAAACTTTGAAATAATTCATTTCAGATGTTTTTGAAAATCCCTCTCCTCCGGCGTGTTAGGTAAAAAACAACAAAATGATGCATTTAGTGTTTAGTGACGTATTGCTAAGTCCAAATAGCTTCTGAATCAGTTTGAAAAATCATCTACTTGCCTGTCCCTCGCTAATAGCACAAAATATATCGCGCCTTTTGGCCAAATTAGCTATGTTCACACCAACAATTTTTTTTTTCAGCTCAAGCCGAAATAACAACCTAATTATTTTCAATAATTAGCTCGTTGTTCTGTCTTGAGCTGAAAAAGTTATCGAAATCTGTATTTGATAAAACATAAGATATTGGCAATCCTTGTAAAGGAAAAGTTTTTTTTTCATATGAACATTAATATTTAAATTCATCGTTTTTTCTTTTGTTCGAAACTATTTAGAGGGACATTCAGGACTTGGCTGCTATACGAACGGGTCTATTGAAAATATTGGTTATTTTGATCAAATATGTGATTTTCGAGAAACACAAATTGATTTGAAATATTTTCTATAGACCAAACATAAAAAATGTGAAATCATTACAAATTGAAAAAAATTCTTGCAACAATTTTTTCACAATCTTCCGTATAAATTGTTTGGATTTCAGATATAAACTTTAAAGAAAACGATTACCTATGACGTCTTTATACCTGTTTAATAAACATGCAAAACATTTAGTATTCATGAATACATGTATACGTTTATTAAGTGTAGAGTTCAACCATTAGTAATGCGCAAATTTGGTGGAAAATTACTGAATGAAGAATTTTATTTGACATGTTGAACGCCCTTTTTACCTCTAATTAACTCCTTCCGCCCTTAGTTCAAAAAGGAACAAAGATCGTTTCAAGGTACAGAACCCGCACTCGCTTAACTGTTTGTTTGCCCTTTTAGAGGGGTGGATGTTTTTTAAGGCATGTGTAAGGGTTAGGACTTATTAAAGAGTTGGAGTTGAATGTACTTACTAGACATGGCAGTAGTTTCGCAGTGATTTTGGCTCGTAGGTTTTTAGACATGGCCAGATAGACCAAGGGATTGACTGCACTGGAGCAGAAGAGTACGGGAAGGGACCACATGGTCAAGTAGTAGTCGAATTTCACTCCTATAAAACATAGACAGACACAATCTCAACACACTTACAATTGAACTTTCTCTAGTAATTGAGAAATTTTTGTGAATATTGTAAAGTGCACCGCCCGTCCTATTCCTATTCCAAAAGGGGAAGGGGGTGTTACAAGGTACAAATGGCATGCAATAAACCTTTGAGTAATTGCTTTGGAAGTGATAAAAGTATTGACTAAAAACAAGGGGGGAGGGGGGGGGGGGGATTGTGAATACTTAACTTTTGCGCGTTTAATTAAAGGTTTGTGATAATGCATGCTCAATCAATATTCATTTTTATAAAACTCAATAGTTATCAATAGGTTCGCTAATTTCGAATGCTCTAATGCTAGCTAATTTACTATATTTATTTATAGGGGTGGAGATTCTTTAGTAGATACCATAGGCGGGGGGGGGGGGGGTGTTGGGATTGTTAAGTAGATCCGGAATTTTTCTGTTTTTTGGTTAATATTTTAAATGAGTTACTACTTCGACGTTGTGTTCTTCTTCGATTTCCGAGCAAACATCAATTTCATTTAAAAAGTCATTAAAATGCCATTAAGCGTTTAGGTCGGCATTTTTATGCTTGGCATTTTTTGCGGTGCCCAGAATTTGGTAGATTATTTGTCAAATAAAATAAAAGCACATAGAAAATCGGGTACTGCATTAGCATAATGATAAAAAAGCATAAAAATTTGAAACTTCTGAAAAGAAGTTCAATTACATATTAGCCGATCAGATTTGACAATACTAATACCAACCTTCTATTCTGCCAATTCATCTCATCATTTTATATCAAAAAACTGGTTGTAAATGAGCACAACAAAAGAATTGAATTAGCTTTCATTCAATTTTTTGTTTCAAGAAATAAAGAAAATGAATAAATAGTCATGCATGTGGCATAAAATGGCCATGCCCAAATGTTCCTCCAGTTATTTGAAAACCACGCTATGAGACGTTTATCCAGAACTGCAAATTTAATTATAAAAAGCACGCGATAATACCTAAATAAAGCAAGAAAAAGCCTATGCTTTTTTAAACAGCCTCAGAAAATCAACGTAATCAACCAAAAAAAGGAAGTCAAAATTCAGTTTTTTTTTTAAATGCATACTCCATCCATGATCATATTAACTGCGTGGTAAAAACAATAAAGCTGGTATATAACTCATAATCCTTGTGACCTTTTGGTTCGTAAATATAATTTGAAAGACTTCTTATTAGCATTCAGAGACAGACATTCGAGGGTCATCATTGTTTCATTAATATGATTATCAGTTCACTTGTACACTTTCTGCCATCGATAATAAAATGTAATCAAGCTTATCGATTTTTGTACAAAATTTGAATTGCTTACTATATATGCCTCTAATTTGGTGCAATCATTTTCACTGCATGCAATTTTTGTGGGAAAAACAGGTCGAAATGACGTTTAAGGGCAGTTTTGGAAGTATTTTTACCCTGTCGCGGGAATTTTCCTTGGTGCATGTATTGTAACACCGTGTAGACGTTGAACGGCACACAGCACATGGTGTGAGAAACAACAGTGATGATCAACATCTGGGTAGTCCTCTGACGTCTCCGCATCGCACTCTCGCTCCCCCCTCCCCCTGCCCCTGACACTCCTCCGCCTATACTCGTACCCCCCGACGACGACATCCCGTCCCCTACCGATGTGGTCACTGATCTGGATCCGATTGACCGCATAGGCGAGTGACTGCTCGAACATTGGAAGTTTCTCAGTCTTACAGAGAAAGCATCAAAAATTAGTATATAGTTAACAATTTTCTCCCCTGTGCTACCTGGTCATGACTATCTACCCCTATAATGCAATGATCAATTAGACATCTGCAACTACTAAAACTTCATCGCAATCTCCCCCCTCCCCTCCCCTCAATTTTCTACTATCTAATTTTCTACAATTCTCGCATTCACCTCATGTTTTTAAAATTTGTCTTAAAAAAACTATGAAAAATGGTCTACCACCTGCAAAAAAGACAAAAAAGTGGCATAAACATGGCAGCAAATGATTTTTGCAGTTACTTTGTGCAATTACTTTTCATAAAATGTAATGAGTCAAATACAAATTTTTTGATTGACAATATCTAAAAGGTCTATGTTTAATTAAAGCAATTACAAAAATTCGTCAATAAATCAATTGTTTAGCCGAATATGTTTTGTACTTTTTGTGTAGCTTTAAACTTTTGCTTCCTATTTATTAATAAAAGAAGCTTTAATTTCACTGCAGTTTGAACCGACAAAATAATGGGAAAAAAATCGATGCAATGCAGATCATCCAAAATCTGAAAATGGCTCAAGGTTGAGGCGCAGTTTCACGCTGCCTGCTTCCAATTCCAGTTTTAAATTTTCTGAAAATATATGTGGACTCAAGTTTCCCTCTGAAAAATTCCTTCGGAGTAAATAAGTGGAAAAAATGCATTTTTGTCAAAATCTACTACAGGATATTTAGTTTTTTGAAAGTTATAAAAAGTGATCTTTTATCTGCGGAAAAAAGCTTTAAAAAGGGCTAAAATTATGACAGTCAACGACTTTAACTTTGCTTGTGCACTTACCTGTTGTCAAAAGATACGTTTCAGGCATATAAATTTTGAGTAACACCTATATTTTTGTTCCGACTATTTGAAAAACGCGGAGAAATTTTGTATTCCAGTGTTTTAGTTTTTTTCTTTTTTTTTGTTTTCCAGGCAAAATCAGGTACCGCAATTAATCATCGGAATTGGTCGAATTAAATAGCATATAAAAGTCCCTTAGTCGTCATTTGAACGAAATTTAAAAATTTCAATTTTTTTTTCTCGGTGTCGAAAAAATCAGTGTGACATTTTTGATTTTGTGTCTAGTTTCGAGCTAATAAGGTCAGCGTGCAGGCTTTAAATAGCTTATTTGAGCCGCGAAAACTTAATTTTACTCGGGCAAAAATAGTAATATGCGTTTCTAGCGCCATTTTGAAAATCAAAAACTTCAACATTTCGAAAAAAAAATCTTCAAAAACTCTAGTAAAAATTTGCGAAATTTTTTGAACATTTTAACGGTTTTTTCTTAGATTTTTTTTCACAAAAACAGTTTACAAATTGGCGAATTTGATTATGCCTGTCAAATAAGCCTAATCGTTTTTTTTTTTCGTTCAGACCTTTTTATCGCACCCCAGGAAAAACGACTCTAATTTGAAAAAAACGGTATGTTTTTAAAGCATGTTTAGTCGTGATTCGAACCGATTGGAGCGGTGCAAACTTTCTCTCTGTGATTTGGTCGGAACATTTTAGACTATGTGCACAGTAGGCAGTCTTGCTTTAACTATCCCGTTTATTTATGTCTGTGGGATTACTTGTTACTACAATCCTGCTATAGTTGAACCGAAAAACGTCAACTTTTATTTTCAGACAAACGTTGAAGTTACAGATCACGCCATTTGCAGGGTGTTTGATATGGTCGATAACTTAACAGAACAAAGATAGCCGGTAGCTGTGCAATAAGCACAGTAAATTCCGACCATTTTCCTTAAAAATAATTTAAAAAATTTTTCTTGTTTTTTTTTCAAGTTAGCGTTGTTTTTTTTTGTGCGTGGTGTGATAAAAAGATCCTAAACAAACCTGAAACTTCAAGATATCAGTCACAGAAAAAAAGGAAAAATGGGACCAAGTAATTTTGTTAATTCTGTTATTTGTCATTTTTAGGCAACATAATAAGTAAGTCAGGCTCATCAGCTTCCTAAAAACTAACTTGAGCCCATAAATTCCAATTCCTTCATAGTTTGTGAGGTTGTTTTTACAACAAGAACACCTCTAAAACTAGTTATGATATGCTATCTAATATACACCTTCACAACAAGGTTTCTCAAATTTTGGCCCAGATAAGCCCTTTCAAATAATTTCATCGACCGTTTGTCAAAGTTCAAACCCTGTATCTTAAATAGATGCAGAGAAAACGAACAAAACGTGAAGAAAAAATGTGTGTATTTTCTCGTTGAAACCAAAAATTAGCATTTTCTATGTCCCGTGACTGTATCAACAAATTTAAACAACTTCGGTATCCGCTGCTACTGTTTTACAGTAAAAAACTACTGCTTATGCGCCAAGTCACGTAGGGCATCTGCTAATTCAATTTTGAAAATTAGTCGGAAACGTTTTTGGACCAAGTTAACATCCTCCTTCAGGAGTTGCATGTTAACTTGGTTCTGAGTTGGAATGTTCAGCCAATCAGAATAGAGCATTTTATAAGCAGCGCTTATAGCAGTTTTAATTTAATGTGAACGCTGGGGTGGGGGATCTTAATTTTATCTATGGAGGGAGGGGGGGGGGGTGGGTTGTTATCTTGATCTACATTTTCACTAAATTTATATGCCCGATTAAAATATCTTTTGAATAATAAATTTTACGCCTCCCTCGAAAAAATCTTAGATCCGACCCTGACTCATCATTCATACTCGTGAGAAAGAATTAATTAACTAAGAGAAATGAGTAACCAAGTTCAGTGACCTATCTCCCCTCAAATCAAAACAGGGAGGAGACAGTTCACTTGGTTAACACTAATATTTTCAGCCAATCCGATTTAAGCATATAGTACATGCAGGCCTTACTGTTTCAATCGGATTCGACATGTAGTTTTAGGATGGAGATTGTTCGCCTGGTCTATTTAGGGGAGAGATTGTTCTCATGGGCCTAAATAATTATAGCTGGAAACAATAAAATTGAACTTTTTTCTCACCTTCTGTTGTTCCGTTCATCTTTATTCTTCTCGCTGACCAGACAGGATTTGATAATATCATTACTATTTTTCAAGTAAGATGCACCCGCGCTTTCGCCCACAGATCCCGAGTTCGATCCCTCTCCGGCTCTGGAGGGAACTGTCAATTCATTTCCGAACAGCTTTTCGTCACTTTCATCCATTGAGGCGATAGGTGCTTTGTTGTTGTTCTTGTTGATAACTCTGATATTTAATCTTGTGACGCTGTTGTTCTTGATATACTTACGATTGTAGGTCTGCTTGTTGTTGTTGGTGCAAGTGCTTAAAATGTCAGTAAAAGATATTTATTTCCCAATTTTTCTATATAATTTCACCAGATTTTTAAATTTTGGAGCTGAAAAAATTTCAAGACAGTTGCGCATTTGGAGAGAGAAAAAAGTGAAAAAATAGTAAATGAAATTGTCATAACGATATCATAACTTTTTCGAAGCAAGTCGGAAACTCGCTAAGAAAAAAATCAGAAAAAAAACAACAATATTCAATTTGTTTTGTTATTAATTTTTATATTAACTTGATTGTTCCGGGTCCGACCACTTCAGAAAGAACTATGTGGATAGGTATGGTTTTTCTCAGTTTTGATTACCTCCCAAAAAACTCGTAGAAGCCCAAAAGTGGTATCAAATTGAAGATCTTTCAGCCGAGATTCACTCAGTTTTGAGAAAAAATGAAAAAATGGTAAAATTTATAGAAGTTCATTCAGTTTCGAGAAAAACTGATCTGAATTTTTCCGTTTTTCACATGGATTGACTTCAAGTTTATGTAGTTTATCACCAAAGTCAATCTCCTCTTATTGAAAAAATCAACAAGCGAAAATTTGACAAAAAATTTTTATTTTTTTTTTGAGTTTTAAATATATTTTTGAACTATAATTTATTCGGAGTATTATTATTTTTCTAATACCATTCGGAAACCTTTTGCAATAAATAACCAAAGCGACAAAAATTATTTGAATGCTCAAAAGTGCTTTTACCATTCTCCGTTATTGTTATTTGTGTTGATGCTGTTCCCACTCCCGGAGGCATCGCTTATGTTTGCCAAAGATTTCCCTTTGACCATTGCAGCGCTGTTGCTGCTTTTGTTGCTGCTGCTACGACCACCAGCAGCAGCTGTGGTCTCCTGCAGTTGTTTGTGTGTGGACACACTGCGCCATAGTTTCACACATATGACCCCGTAGAACAGAATGAGTCCTGCAATCGGCAAATCCACCAGCAGAAGAGACGTGACCAAACTGGAAACTTGTGCACTCAGGCCGACCTGATCACGCGCAAAATACAGTCATGTGATCAATAAATCCCGGTTGACATCCACAGATGGAAAATGCAGGCCATACCATTTCATCCAAAAAATTGAACGGTAAAACGCTGCAGTAATGCAAATTTCATACATATGTCAGATTTCAGAACCAGCTCTTATTGGTTTTTTTGACACTTTTTATTTGCAACTTAGTTTGGGAGCGATGGCGAGGTGATCAAATCTCCGCCTTGCTATTGCACGAGTCCAGGTGAGCAGCCCAAAATCAAGCACGGAATCTTTGTGCTCGGGGTGGAGTTTTTTCTTCGGACAAATCTTGACTTTTCAACTAGCCATTTTCGACAAAAGTTTTTTATCAATCAAAAAGTATTGTTTTCCTGAGCATATGCTTGAAAAATATTTCACTTGTGATCTTCTTTTGTAAAGTTATGGGTGTATAAAGATTGCCATTTTGGCCAATTTGGGACAATTAACGCGCGATATATTTCGCAATATCAACGCGTAAGCGGAGATTTAATCCGTCTTAGAAATTGTTCCAAACTGGTTGAGGGAAGCTTATTTGCCATAATCGATTTGTTACTAGCTATGAAATTTGTCCTTATGTACATTATAGGGCGTGTGGGGGATGGTTTTCTCAAAAAATATCAACCTAAAAAATATACATTTTCTATTACATATAATCTTTTCTTGTTAACACTGCTCCATAGACATCAAAAGGCAGTCGGAAAGTTCGGAGCTTTGCCCTTATACGAGCAATCTTATTAATTGTTCCGACTTTTGCCAAGAAAATAACGGAATATTTGTGCTCGGTGTGGGTTTTTTTTTCATAAAAATTTCGACTTTTTAACTAGCCATTTTGACGGAAATTTTTTTACATCATTCAAAGGGTATTGTTGTCCTGAGCTTAAACTTGAATAATATTTCACCTTTGGTTTTTTTTGTAAAATTATGGGAGTTTAAAGATTGCCATTTTGGCCAATTTGGTACAATTAACGCGCGATAGAATTCGCGCTATTAACGCGTAAGCGGAGATCTAATCCGTCTTAGAAATCATTCCAAGTTGGTTGAAAGAAGCTTATTTGCAACAAATGATTTGTTACAAATAGCTAAATCTATTGTTTTGAACTTTACATGGCGTGTGGGAGATGATTTTCAAAGAAAAAATTTCAAAATTTAGAAAAAAAAATTCATTTTTTATTTCACTTAAACTTTTTATGTTTTTTATGTTATTACTGCTCCATAAACCTTAGAAGGCAGTCGGAACATTCAAGGCTTTGCATGATACGAGCAGTCTCGTTTTTTGGTTTAGATTAGTTTGCACTGCAGTTACTTTGACCGAGAGTTCCAAATTCGAACCAATTTAACATGCTCCTTCTGGTATTTTGTTTATACCCACTAAAAAGATGTTTTGCAAGCGTAAAACTGAAGTGAAAGTTGTATTACTTAAGCTGTAAATGAGGCTGATATACAAAGTTGTAAGTCAATTTGAAAAAGTGCCAACCAAATCATAAACCAGAAACAATTTTGATGCATGTTTGTAAAGTTTGTGTAAAAAAAGTTGAAGTGCGTTATTTTTATCTTACTTTTGTTTTGATGTTTTTTGCTAAGCCCCTGCTCTTATTTGATATAATCGACTACCAATTTAGCTTTGTATTATAATCGACTGCAACCTTAAATTTTGCAAAAAATGATTGGAAGTGAACAGGGGCGGATTTAGGGGGGGGGGGCGGATGACCTTTCCCCTCAGCGATTCGACCCCCTACCTACCCAAAGGGTCCCCTTCAAGTGAAATAATTTTTTAAATTTGATTTTAGGGAGTCGATATCTTCAGTGGGGACTAAAATGTTTTGTTGTAAATTATTATTTTAATAGACGAAAACTGATTGAATAAAAAACCACACCAAGCACAAGTAATGCGTTTCCTTAGAAGGTCGGAACAGTTAATCTAAACAATTTCCGGGCCTCAAATTAAAAAAGAATGTTTTTGAGAGCCGGATATTTCTTCTCTCATTAAAATTTTTGCGCATAATCTCACGCCATCATAGATATAATCTCAAAATTAGGTTAACCAAATTTTAAATATATTTTTTTAGATGTTTCAAAATACACTTAATTTTTCGTCGGAGCAATATATGGAACTAAGTTTTTTTCTGACTTTCGTTAGAATCCTGCTGACTGAAATCGGTCCAAATAAAATTGATGCTAGCTGCTCGGTCGCATTTATTTTGTAAGACTCAAATTTTCACACTTGATCTTTGATATCGTCCAAAATTCTTAGTTTTTCAATATTATCTGTCTAGCAGTCTGTCTTGGTATTCACTCAAAATATTGCTGATATCGATTTTGATTTGGATTCTGGTATGTATGACTAACGGTGCAGAAAGACTTTTCACTAGGGCTAGAAAAAGTTTGGACAACGGTCGCAAAAATAGTTTTCGGATCAATTTGGGTTGTAAATACAATCAATAATATTTTGTGAATCCAATAGATGTTCCCTGCTGAGTTTCTTTTCACTCGAACAGGAGTTGCAATTTGTTTTCTGTTGAAGAATCATTAAAAAAATATATTTTTTTTTCTGCTAATTTATCTTCTTTATACTCCCTAACTGAAAATTTACCAGAAGTAATAGAAAATGAAATATCTTTTTGATTTTGCGCCCAAGGAGTCGATATTTCCACAGCGATGTATAAAAATGTGTCCACAGTAACTATTTTTGTCGCCGTAGTCTGTGTAAATAAAAAATCAGCAAAAAGTCAGAACTCCAAAACTACCGCTTTCGAAAGTCGGAACAAAAAGTGTTGAATCTCTTTTTAAGATGTTAACGTATTCCCATGTCCATTTTTTCTGAAAATTCCTCTCTTTCGCATTCAGCTGCCTGCTTTTGAACTAGACATTTTAAACAAGAGGTCTAATGAGCCTCTAGTCTCTTTAAATACAATCATAAACTAATTGCACCTTTTTCGGATTAGCATAGGAAAGCTGTATTTATACGTCAGCGGTGGTTCAGTTTGAATAAAGAAATAGTTCAGGTCATTTTTGTCATAGCCGATTTAATTTTTTTTCGGCCAGTCTTTTGTTATCCAAATAAAAGATTAACAAGACTGCTCGTATATCAGGCCAATACCAATTTCAGAAAATGTGCCAAGGCCTCTATTGAGCTATGCTTGCTTCGGTTGTATGTGATCAAAATGTTAACTATCCCCCATAGAATACCCAGTAACGAATTGCCACCCCTAGAAAGAAACAAGACTGCTCGTATCATGGCGAAACCCTGAATGTTTTGGTTGCCTTTTAAGGTCTAAGAAACAGTAATAACATGAAAAAATCAAATGTAAAAAAAGTTTAAAAAGAAAAACTTAAAATTTGGGGAGTTTTTTATGTACGTCATATAAAGTACAAAGTGACCTAAATTTTTTATCATACAATTTTCATATATGAAAAACTTCTTGCCATAGAAATTCATACGCACAGAAAATTGTATGAAATTTCTATGACCAGCTTTTTTCCATATATGAAAATTGTTTGATAAAATTTTTTCCATAAATCAAAAAGTTGATTTTTTTTCTAAATTTAATTTCTGAAAAAATTTGGGTTGTGTTTGTAATTGAAAGCAAATGCAAAGATCTTGGTTTCTTCAAAACACCAAGGGTTGGAACGTCTTGTATTTACAACGAACCGTTTTGCTTTTACAACAAACAAACAGACCGTCTTGTAGCAAACTTTTAATTTTTGGCAAAATGTTTCAACAATGACTTGTTTTAAAATTTGAATTTTCAAACTATCAGACATTGGTCAAGGCAAACATAAACATGCCATAAAAAGAAATAAGAGTTTTAAGTGTTTTTGAAAAAAAACATACCCAGCGAAGAGGGAAAAAAATTCTACAAGTGTATCCAGGTCTACGTTATTTTTTTTGGAAAATAATTGTTTGAGCACAAGTTTGATTTAAAAATTACTTCGCCGTCAAAAAAATGAGCCACATAAGCATTGTGTAATAGGCTCTTTTTTCAAAAAACAAAAGACTCAGTTTTTTCATCACACGATTGTTTTATTATAATCAAACAGCCACAGAAATTAATTTATGACTTTTTTCAACCATTTTTCGAAATTGTACAAAAATGGTATGACAAGCATTCTTCCGTACACATGATGTGTGGAATTGTATGATAAGTATTTTTGGTTTATGGAGGTCAACCCGGGTAATAGGTTTCGGCCTAGTAACAATTCAATTATGGCTAAAAATCTTCCTACAACCAATTCAACGAGTTCTAAGACGGATTAAACATCCGCTTACACGTTAATAGCGCGAAATATATCGCGCGTTAACCATCCCAAATTTGCCGAAAAAGCAAATTTCAACACTCATAATAACTGTACAAAAATGATCAATCGTGAAATACTTTTTTATTCTTAAGCTCAGGAGAACAATACGTTTTGACTAGTATAAAAATGCCGTCAAAAATGGCTAGCTAAAATGTAGAAGTTTGCTTGAAAAAAAAAACCACGCCAAGCACAAATATTCCGTTACTTTAGTTACGAAAGTCGGAAAAACAATTTAAAGACTAGGCATATGTGAATTTTGTACCTAAACAAATTTCCCCTTTTTGCAAAAGGGTGTATATTAGTTAAAAAGATCCGATTCTCAAAAAAATGACATTTTTGAATTTTGGTGATGAGGTTGCCGAACGCATCAGAGGATGGAATTCCTCTTTGACCCAACGACTTCCATCAACGAATCCCACCAAATCCACCGGACAAATTGAACTAATTTTGTTACTATCCCACTGAACTATTTTTATTAACATCTGCCCGAGTTGACCTCCATGCACCGAAAATGCTCACCATACAATTCTGTTCAACAAGTGTATGGAAAATTTGCTTATCATACTATTTCAACATACTATTTCAAAAAAGCAAAATTTCAACACTCATAATAACTGTACAAAAATGATCAATCGTGAAATACTTTTTTATTCTTAAGCTCAGGAGAACAATACGTTTTG